ATATATATATATATATATATATATATATATATATGTGTGTGTGTGTGTGTGTGTGTTTTTGGGGAATTGGATACAAGAGAAATATAGTGCGCTAGAGCTATCTATCGTTGCATCATATATGCCTCAAAAACATGTTGTGACTACAAGATATCAGAATAATAGAGTAATAATCATATATAAGATATTATCTTAATTTTTGAAAATAATTATTAAAGAAAAGAATCATTAATAAGATAAAAAAAAACTAATTTAGATCTGTAAAAAATAGTCTGACTTGGTGAACATGTTTTAAACAATTTTATCTTAAAATTTTTAAATATTAAAATATAATATTAAAAATTATTAATTCCTTTTATAAATATAAGACTCAAATCTAGAATTTTAAGATCTGAGGATCAAATCGATAAATTTTAAATATTTTTATTAAATAAAATATAAAAGTAAATTAACCCTGCTAGCATGATGAAAGGGTTGGCTAATATTATAGTCAACTTTCCCTAGGCCATATATTTATCAGCTAATCAAATTCTTCTTTGTCGCTTTTGGGTTTAGCAATTTAAGAGTGGATGCTATAATCTTCCTCTGTTGGCAAGTTTTAACAATGCCCAATTGCCCATAATGTTATATGGTGCATAGAATCAGTACGTATTACAGTATTCAAGCTTTACTGTTTGTCTGATTGCCAAGTGTGGTTTGTTGAGAAGCAAAATTGCTCTGTACCTGGATCATTGTTTCACCATAATGTTATTTACTAGTAACATCATTTAGGTTGCACAATTAGAATACTTGACTAATACTCCCTCCGTTTTTTTTATTGTCCTTTAAGATTATGCATAAGAATTAAGATAATTATTGATATTTTAGATTTTCAAAATATTTATTACATATTTTTCTGTTATATCCTTTGAGTGATTGAAAAAAAAATAAGTACATTAAAAAATGAATAGACATATTAGTTAGTAAACATGCATTAATTATCAAGGATAAAAATTAAAAAAAAATTAATAAATTATTTATTTTAAAAAAGTGACAATGAAAAAAAAATAACAAAATTTGACAAAATGACTTTGAAAAAAAAAGGAAGGAGTAATTTAGCTTCCAGACTAGAGTACCTCACTTGATTTCTTTTTTCAGTATAATCACAGCCTTGTTATTACCGGCAGTATTTTATCTCAAGATGTCAAAAAATGACCCTGGGAAATCTGCACTTCACGGATCATTTTGGTGTCATAATTCACTGTTTATTAAATGCTCACAGCGAAAGACATGTCATGCTATGCAATTTAGATGTCTATAATGACAATTTTGATGCTTATCTAAATGGTACATTATGTAAAAAAAAAAAAAATCCATTTATCCATTCATGGTTGTAGGTTGGATGATCTGCCATTAGGCTCAGCAGAAGTATGAGACAAATGACCGTTTTCCATTATCTGCTGAAAGAAGAGAAAAGTGTTAATCACCATTCACCCCCTATAGTGGAAGATGAAATTCCAAGAGATGAGGCAAAAGTTCCTGTTGTGTCACCACCAAGGTATTTCTTGAGACGATCTAAGTCATCTGCTGCATCAAGCATGGTTGGTCTGGTCGAAGGTGACTCCTGTGTGCAAAGAAGCCCCAACTCAATTAACTCCGCCATAGCAACTTCCCACATCTTTCTAACCTCTTGGGTTTGATCTCTTGAGGCTGTCACCAAAGCAGGATCTACCACTTTTTCTATCCTTCCATGAAAGTGTCTCTTTACCCATCTATGCAGACTTAATCCACCAACAAACATGTCATCTGTTGGTCTTCTTCTAGTCACCATCTCTAGAACTAGAATGCCAAAGCTATAGACATCTCCTTTGGTAGATGTGTTGAATCCAAATCCATATTCTGCACGAGAAAGTATGGAAGAGTGTACAGATGACTTCTTATTTGAACTAAAATTAAAGTTTTCCAAAATTGTGAAAAATATTTACAGCAAACCTATGGTAAATTAGAGTATTACATTTCTAGTATATGTATGCGATAATACAGCTACCAAAACATTATTTAACACTTTTATTTAGACTAATTAAATCACTTGGCCCCTGGTAGTTAGATCAAGCTTGGTTTTATGTTCCTTCTAACGGTTTTCATTTTTGGTAATTTTGCAAGATACATGCATTACCTGGTGCAGTGTATCCAATGGATCCGCATAAATTTGCAGTAGAGTTGCCCATGTTATCAATAACCCCACCTCCAACACTCATAATTAGCCTTGCAACCCCAAAATCAGAAACAAGAGCTGTCATGTCATCATTGAGAAGAATATTGCTTGGTTTTAGATCACAGTGTATGACTCTGACAGGAGAATGATGATGCAAATAGGCCATCCCTTCAGCTATATCACTGCAAATATTCACCCTCTGGGCAATGCTCAAGTCTGATGATCCAGAAGGAGGATAGAGTCGGCTCTCCAAGCTCCCATTGGCCATATAAGGTAAAACAATAGCCTTAAAATCTGGTAGGCTACATGCTGTGATAATCCTTATCAGATTTCTGTGTCTAATTCTCTTCAAAACTTGGCATTCTCTGTTAAAGCTTTTGGTAGAATTTCCAGATTGCAATTGCAGCACCTTGACTGCTATTGGTGTCCCATCCGTGAGAACACCCCTGTAAACATGTCCGTAACTTCCTGATCCAACAAGTCTTTGATTGTCAAATCCTCCGGTGGCATCTGAGAGTTCCTTATATGTGATTCTTGGGAAGTTACTAATCAACTCAGGTCTGGCTGAATTTTTGCTTGCCTCAGTCCTCTGAGACCAGATGATTACTTTAAGACGCTTACATCCAATTACACAGCAAATTATTGACAACAATGCTGATATGAAGATGACCAAGATAAATATAATCAATAACAAACGAGTTTGAAACCATTTTCTCCTTTGAGAGCACAAGGGTATGCCAGCAATTGTTCCACAAAGTTGTGGATTTCCTAAGAATGATAAGTTTGAAACTGAATTAAAGATACCACCAGATGGAATCTTTCCTTCAAAATTGTTAAATGATAAATTGATAAAAGTGAGTGTGTCAATTTTACCAAGTGCTGCTGGTATCAGTCCAGATAAATGATTTCTTGAAACATCAAAAGATTCAAGGTTCCTCAGATCACCTAGGGACTTTGGGAGGTCACCTTGAAGAAAATTGTTTGAAAAGTTAATCACTGAAACAGCAATGCAACCTGCTATCTGAGGGAAGATACTTCCAGTTAGGTAATTGGATGAAAGATCTATCTCCTGAACCTTTTCTAATTTGCTGAGCTCAATTGGCAAGGGACCTTCAAGGTGGTTATGAGAGACATTTATGAAAATTCTGATCTCATGCAAGCCTGTCAGTTCCAGTGGAATGCTTCCTGTTAATCTATTATGGGACAAGTCAAGCCTGTACAGATTAGTGCACTGTCCCAACGTGGGAGGTATTGTTCCTGAGAGAAGGTTATTGTTGAGAAACAAAGAATTTAGTCTAGCCAAATCTCCCAAACTGTCTGGAATCCTACCTGAGAATTGATTGTGTGACAGATCCAGTAGACCTAGATCACGACACTTGCCTATTGCTTCTGGAATTGGAGTTTTGAAAAGGTTGTGTGATAAGAAAAGTTGTTCCAACTTTGGTAATCTGAAGATATCAGACGATATAGTTCCATTTAGAAGATTGGATGTTAAATTCAGAATGAAAAGCCTTGAAAGGTTTGCTAAGCTGCGAGGAATTGATCCAAAAATTTGGTTTTCCTGCAGGAGAAGGGTTCTTAGACCGGTGAGTTGGCCGGCGACAGTATCGGTGAACCTTCCCCCAAGGCCCATTCCTGCCAGTTCAAGCTCCTGTAGATTACTGTTGTTTCTGAGAGCAGTGAAAAGTGGATCAAGATTGGTGTTGTTATCATGGCTTACCATATTGTTGTATGATAAATGAAGGTAAAGGAGATATGGCCAGCTGCTTACAAACTTTGTAGGCAATTCACCAGACAGATAGTTGTACTCCACGTCTAAATTTTGAAGTGATAGATTGGTCAACGAGAGAGGAAGTTGTCCAGTAAATTGATTATCGTATAAACTGATGCTCCACAGGCCAGGGCTGTTTCCAATCTCTTCCGGGATTTGACCAGCTAATGAGTTGCTGGAG